CGCCCTATTTCATTTAAGCTGAAATATATATATATTGGATAAAACTTTGTTTTATTGACAATCTCACCATAGAATGTGATACAGGAAAGATTTTATCTCCTTTGAAATTCACATTTGCCCTCTGACCAAAGGGAACTCGTGGCAACGTGGCTTGGTTGTTAATGTGTCGAAATAATATGCCGAACTTTTATAACACGAGTCCCGCTCGGAGACCTGTTTAGGCGATGTCGAAATTGTAACCTAGTCGAGCCGGAATGAGAATACCTTTTGGAAAGCACGGTCATGTTAGATTCAGTGTAGTCCTAAGGCTTATTCACACGCTTGTGGGAAAATGTATCTGATCTACTGGTGGTAACAAACACTTATTTATAAACAAAAATAAGTAATTTAGATGATTATAATAGCTTATCTAGAATCCCATCACAGAATATAAAATGGTAAAATTCCTGGCCCTTCTTGAAATTCACATCTATCCTGTGAACCAAGGGCAATTGTGACAGTGGCATAGTAGTTAACGGGCCAAGACTATAAAATACACTGTCCAAGTTCGAGTCCTGCAGGGATCGGAGCTGAAACCAAATCAGGCAAGGTCGAATCTGCAGTCCAAGCGATGCGGGATTGGAATAGATTTTGTGAAGCCTATTATTGGGGGAAAATTCAACTATTAGTGCTTAATAATCTTAACGAAATAGAGTGAGTACATCTCACTTATCCGATCTACTGCTAGTCTCGAAAGCCCAGTTGTGGCGAAAGTGTGAAAATAAAGTCACACCTGAAGAAGGTAAACTCATGCAGATGCAATTAAGGCTATCTGCATTCGGACTTGGTGTCTAAGCGTTTTAGAACCTGAAATGTCGTCGGCCATGCCAGCCGGTAGACAAGTTTCAATTGCTCAAGCTCACTATAACCCTTGAATGGTCCCACTTCATATGCCAGGCAGCGTGTGTGAACGAGGCCTACCCGCGTGTGGCGTGTGGAGTCTGCAGCATGACAAGGTGTAGCGCAGCTGCAGCCAACCCTTCGGCTGCTGGAAGGCCACTTGTCAGTTGGTCAATCAACTGTTTGGCCAAGTGGCTGTTCGAGTGCATGGGCGATTGGAGCAACCAACGTAGGGCCATGCCAACCGTGATCCGCACGAGTCCGAGGTCCTGGCACAAGCGTGAGGCGACTGAAACGCCGGAAATGGATTGGAGGGAATAGAAAGGAGTAAACGGATGATTAGAATAGTATAAAAATGCATGTATTTTGCTTGGTAGAGAGAAATAAAATATAGGATTAGAAAAGATTGCTCAATTACTTGATGGGATTCAATGTTTCAGCTTAAAGGAAAAATTGGTTGGAGGAACTGTTCGTGAAATGTTCACCGAAACTTGAAGAAATATTGACTGCTGTGGAATAAAAAACTATTGAGTTGAATTGAGAAGCTCTTTGCCCACTCTCAGAACAAAAAATCATACTTCACGAAAACACACAATAATATGTTAAACCAAGAGTCTATGTGGCCGGCTGCAAGACTACTTACTTTGAATACAGATGTTTTTCGATATTAATGAGGCATTACACGATTACATTGGTTGCTTTAAGCTTAGCCTTTGTGCTTGCTGAGGAGGGAAGATTGTGCATTCAATAAAAGTTGATGCGATGGCAGCTATTTCCCTACAGAAATAGACCAGCTGACAATCCTCCAATTTTGACGCATATTGATGTATGTGGTAATGTGGATTGTAGGTGTACAATTTTCAAGTAATGTGTGAGGTGTGATAGCTATAAGAAGACTCGAGGCTGTCTAAATCTCCTTCTCTCGCTTGGTGGTTTTTCTTGCTTCCTCTTTCTTATTCATTTAAGCCTTCCAACAGTCATGAATAATTAGGACCCAATTTCTTACATGGATTTCTCATATCCAAGATGTTGTCGGTACAGTGTATTTCTATAGATTTCCTAATATCAGTCTTAGTTATGAAGTCCTCGTAGACTTTTCAGTTTTGCCTTGTAAATATGAAAGCCAAGCTGGGGTGGTTTTTTGTTTAATCA